AACAGTTTCTATACATAGACAATGATGGCAACTGGATCTCAGAAACATGATTACTCCTGAGAAGAATTTCCATATTTCTCAGGGTTCATATCATCTTTCATGGGCAGATCCTCCTGAATCCGTGGGAAAAAGTGTGCCTTGCACTTAGCATATCCCAGGACTCAGAATTCAGCAGCTTTTTATGAAATTAATTAGGAACACTGTATTTAAAGAAATCTTTGGAAACTTAAGTTACTTAAATACATTTAAATGATAAAAACATAGCTTCCCTACCCATTAACCCTGTAAAACTTCCACTTTCTCACAGCACAATAAAACATCATTTCACAATATTTGCAAAACATTTCTGAGCATCAGTCATGGCTTCCAAAAGACCCCGAGTTCACCAGTGAACAAAACTAATCCACAGACATTTAATTCATGTCCTGATGCCTGGGAAAGGTTTTTTTGTTTTATTTTGTCTGTCAAAAAGGTTGAGACACAACTGGTTCATTAACAAGGGCCTGAGATGCCACTGACCTTCTCTAATGGTGCCTGGAAGCGCTGAGCACATTGCTGCAGGGTTGTTAGGAACCCTCTCTAATCTGACCTTTTTTCTTGTCCTGTACATGACATGCATTCTTGGCATCTCTTGACGAAGTGTTTACCAAAGTAAACTTGCACTGTTCAAGGCAGCAATGTAGATGGCATTGTAGTACAGTCTGTGTGCAAAAACACTGATGGAAATAGATTTTAGAAACATGCTTATTCACAGAAAAAAATCTTTCACTGTTCCAAGCTACCCCCATCTTCTCTTTTGGCAACACGAGGCACAGCATGTAAAACACCAAAGACAGGATCCAGAAGGAGAAGCAAAGTACTTGTAAAAGTACAGTCATTACAGGATGCGGAAAAAACAAAACAAAACAGAAAAAATGAAAGGAAGTAAAAATCTACAGCTATAGATATGGAGAATGTTGCAACATACTGAAAATTTGAAACTTGCAGCACTACATATGTACTGCAATATATTTATTTTAGGTATGCAATAAAAATCACCAGATGAGCCATAGACTGTATTTTCTGTCTGCTAAGATGCCACTTCAGATTCTCGGAATTTAATTTTTCCCTTGTAACATGTTGGCAGCAGAACTGGAACTGCATCTATACATTCATTTTGCAACTTAAGAGAGTAGGATAGGAAAGATCCTTGTCTAGGATCAAAGAACCACAAACGCACGTTTTAGAAAGTGGTGTGAGCATATGAAATCGTGTTTTTTAACGTGTCTTTTAAAACTGTTACTGCTTTGCAATTTTGAAATCCAAATGTGTTTCCTCAATGATCTAGAATCACCATTTATACTTGTCCAAAAAAATAACTTCCAACAACCTTCAAACATTCTAACTGCACTAGAGAAGTAGTCTTACATGTTCAGTGTCTCATAAGAAAGGTGTAACACTGGATCCACCAGCTATAACAGCAAAGAGCCTTGTTCTCTCAAGATCTTACAGAATGACTGCAGCAGCAATAGGACATTGATAGACACATCCCTTTTGGTCAGGTAGAGTTGACTGTGGAATACGAAGCAGCAGTGACTGAAGCTCTTCTACAACAGAACCAAGTATCCTGAAAGACTTGTAAGCTAAGCTTCATAGGGTAAGGGAAGAGTTTCCATCATCGTGATAGGAAACAGAAATGTCAATATAGCTGACAAAGATGTTTAAGTTACCACAGAGGTGGCACAGCCCTCCACCATAACAGCCAACTTTTCAGATATGTCTGCAAGGTCGCTGGAGTTCATCCCAACATCTACAGAGATGTTACCATCTTTGCCAAGGCTTTAGGACTACTCGCCCTATAGCACTCAAGCTGTTAAGATATTCCATGCCAGGTTGCATCACTCTCTCCTGCGCGCTTACTGTTTTATATAGTGCAGAGAGATCTTATCTGTGAAGCTTACAGAGTTAAAGGAAACATTCACAAACCAAGGTTTCCTGCAGGTTTAATTCCTACCCCCTGCAGTCTTGTTGGTGCTCACAAAGAAACACTCTTATCTGCTGAGAAAGTATGACTGAAAACTGTGATTTACACATCTTCCTCTGAAAGCTGTTGTCAGCTTGAGGTTTAAAGATCAACCAAGAAAACTCCATCTGCACTGAAATATTCCAACAGCCCCAAGCCCAAAAGAACAAAGAAAAAAGGATCAAGATATTTTACGCTAAAAAGTAAGAAATATTTTTAATATCTATTTGTGCCTGTGTGTGTATAATGAGGCACTCATCTGTCTTTGAATTATGATCTCTTTAACCTTGGAGCCTTTAGCAAAAGTGGCACAGGGATTTTTCATTCAAATATGCAGTGTAATAAGGGAAGATATGAAAGGAGGTTGATTTTTTTTTTTTCCATAAAAAAGCAAATATGGTACTGATGAAAAATCCAGCAGCACTGAAGAATGAAGTCCTGTAGCTGTCTAGTGAAAAGAATTATGTACAGGATGCAAGAATCTAACAGAAACCTTCAGTTTCGGTATTATCAACAAATTCAGCAGAATTTAAAAGGTTACAAAGGCATGGTTCTGTGCACAGATTCAGTGCCTTTTCTGCTGTAATTGATCTTTTACCACAATTCTGTTCAGCTTCAGAGATGCTTTCAGAGTTTAACAGACAGGTGGGGAACTGACAAGAATTGCATGCATTTTCCTTTTTCTTACTCCTTGGGAAGCAGCACAGAAACGTTCTGAAGTATTCACAGGGGAGCATAATTTTTAGGCAAAGAGACATGAAACCCTGAAAAGAAATATAACAGAATATTCTCTGTGTAATATTGTCTCTGGAGTAAAGAGCTCTGCAGTAACAGAAAAGGAATTAAATTAGTCAGTACAAAGCCGAAGAAACCAGTCTCAAAAATTTCTGCTGTGACCTACGGCAAATCACGCAAAAACACCAGGAGGGCCAAAAGCACAACCACATGCCTACCTCGTCCTGGGAAGCTGAAGCCCTAGCTCTAGCACTAAAGCAGAACTGAGAAAATCTATGCCATTGCTGCCAGATGGTTGTTCAACCTCTCCTTAAACCCTAAGTATGTATCATGAGTGCTCTTTCCTAACAAAGAGTAATATTTTCCTACATCTGACCTAAAGCTAATTTATTTTGATACTTCTTTCCCAAACTATGAAAAGCAAGCACTGCTCTCAATACATGACATATAGAACTTCTCAGGCTCTTCTAAAATAAACTAAGCCAATTCCTTCAAGCATTCCTTAAAGGTGGAATGTCTGTTGTATCTATTATGTTACTCTCCTCTAGACTTTACAGTTTGTCTTCATCATCTCCACAGTGGCATCACAAAGCTGGACAATTACTCCAGCTGAGGACTCTGAGTAGACTGGAAGAGTCCTGTTCCATGTTTTACTTTACTTTTGACAAATTTCTCTGTCTTACAATGACATTTCTGTTTTTTCACAATATTACAGCCCACATTATTTCTGCAGGACCCACCCCACGCAAAATACCTTTCAATTTGGAAGGCAACAGATAACTACATCTTATAATATTTTTTCACCCCTTTGAGAACGCAAATGGTAAGAAGTGTATCTTTGCTGTACTTTCTCTGAAGTGCAATTCTCACAGGAAAGGTAACACAGAAAGCTTTATCAAAGTCAAGATCTTGTGTATCAGCTGCATCTCCTCACCTACTACACCAGCTAACCTATCAAATATCAAATCTGATCTATTTAGTACTGAAAAGCAATGGTGACTCTTGTTATCCACCAGGTCACCACCTCTAAGTATCTGTAATTTAACCACGTACTATCTTCCTCAAACCTTGGAGTTAAAATTGAGCTGGAGATTATTAAACTGCCTGGGCTCCCCTCATATTGAAAGAGATGTAGAAAACCTCAAATAATTACATAAACAATAGGACTGATCTAAAACTATATCTAACCTTAAACATCTGAGAAAAGTGTTATTAAACTAAAGAATAATGTCAGAACACTCAAAAAAAATAACATAAAAAATTAGAAAGCAAAATAAATTCAGTCTAAGCATGACAGCAGCAAAGTTCCGGGCAGTCTTTTAGGCATACATGCATGCAGCAGGGTATCTCAACAGCTGTAACACTATGCTTGATCACTTTATGAAAGGTGTTATATGAAGAGGTTTTCTGCAATACCAGGGAGTGGAATTGCCGATGCAAATGATTCATACAGTTGTGCTATTATCACACTGGTTTGTTGGGTTTTTTTAAATCCATTTTCTTTTTTTACAAATGTCTTTATCAGTATTTTGAGAAAAGATACTTCAGTGTATTCAGCTGCACAAGTAGGTCCACTTAAAGTCCTTACCCCAGAACCTCTGCAATGCCACTTTAAAACAAATGGCCTTAAACTTTTTTGACTCTAACTAAAGTGTCTCTGTCCTTTAGACCACTGCATTTTTTCTGAGGCTTAGTGCTGAATATTTGAGGAGGATGGCACTAATTTCTCTAATAGTATTATAAAAATGTCAGAATTATCCTTTGCCCTACCCTTTACCCACCTTGAAATTTGCTTACTTTTTCTAAACCAATGGTATATATGGAGAACAAGACAGGAATTGCATAAGCAGAAACCACACTGTCCTGGCTGCTGCTTTTGTCTTACTTCCCAAGTTTTTATCCGTAAGTGCATCTGAGTTGTTTAATTCTTCCCCTGATGCGCACAGGTACTTAGGATAGGCAAATGCAACCTATTATGCTACCCACCTTATACTTCTGGTTTATTCTTTTGACTTTATTGATCTTTTCTAACCTCGACTGTTCTAGTTATACCCCACCTATCACTCCAAGCACAACTGTAACTATAACCTACCAACTCCTTTAACTTAAATTCGTTCCATCTATTCAGACGCACAAATCATCAGACCAACGCTGCCGCTGCGGTTTAAAGTCCTTTGAAAAGCTAAAAGAAGGTAGACCAACACATAAGCAGCGCTTTAAAGAAAAAAAAAAACCAAAACCCACCGAGATGCATTTCCCTCACCTTTCGGTTAGGAGTACCTGCAAGAGCAGGCTTTACAACCCCTTCCCTGACTTCCGACGGCCACCAGGGAACCCGCGGGCAGAGCGGGGC